AGAGGAGTTACTATGCAAGTTGCACGGGTGTTCTACAGAATGCTGAAAAACCTTTTCTGGGGCTTCGCACATGCATCTTTCTCCTGTGCTCATGGCTAAGCAGATTGGTAGGAACGATGAACTCTGGACTGCTCACCTTGTGCCTCTCTCTGGGACTGCCACCCTGCATAACCCTGCCAGCACCACCCACCGTGGGTGGGTTTGCTGTGCACGTGAACTACGCAGCAGCTCTGGGGACAAGCAGAGGGCTGCCATGGCTCTAATGCTGCTATCCTTTGTAACACAACACAGATGGAGGCAAGCAAAGCTTTCACTCCAGTTGCATCAGTCTTACACATATGCTTGAGATTCTCCCCATGCCAAGCAGCCTACAAATTAGGACGAGCATTTTGAGAGAATAGACGGGCACAGACAAGAAGGGAGCAGAGCAGCAGAGAGCAACACTGTATGGTATAGCTCTGTACTGCCACTAGCAGCACTCATCCCACTGCCAGCCTGGCCTCTTCCCACCAGCAGTGCTTCCATTAGCCAGATGCATCAGGAAGACCATGTGCTATGATACTTGAGTCAGTGCAGCAGAGGCCAAGGACCCCTCTCACGGACATAACAGAGATTAACAGGACTTGCACTGAAGGAATTGCCAGCAAAACATGGCTTTGAGCCACAGGCATAGATGCATAAAAAGAGAAAACTGGACCTGGATTTCAGTGCTTTGGAACACAGGGACTTGAATAGAGACTTTGGCTTGGTTTACTAGAAAGATGGGAGCTTTCGCAGGAATTGTGCCTGGGCAGGTTTGGGAATGCTTAGGAGTTTTGCCTGTGCAGTTGAGTGCATCTCCTGCATGCAACTTATTTGGGATAAAGAAATTTTTGAAAGCAGTATCTGCCCTCCTTCCTTAGGTCAAAAATCTCTATCTTAAAGCACCAGGCTGTGCCTGGCAGCTGCTAGCTATTGCGCAATAGGAAAAATAGACTTGGACTTAAACTACAAGGAAAGGAAAGCCTGAAACAGGAGCTGATAGGAGGGTATTCATCTTTGAAGGATTTAAGTTTCTCTACTAGGCTTTGCTGTCAACAGAGAAATATCCTAGAAAGCAATTTGGAAATGAAGCAAAGTAAAGTTCTAGATCCTTAGCTGGGACACATCAATTCCTTTCACTTCCTACTAATTACCTTCTCATATCAGCTAGTTCACTATTACCATTTCCCCATGAGATGGGAAACAGTCTTAACCCTCCAACTGTACAGGCACAGGGAGTTCAGGAACTTGCGCAAGGTAACAGTCACAGGCTTACACAGGGAACCCTGTTTATGTCTAGTGTTATTAGAGCCATAGAACCCTTAGAAAGGGCAGCTAGGCAAGTAGCACAAGTCAACCTCAGACAATATTTGGCCCGGGCATTGCCATAGATGCTGTGGGAAGCTGTATTGATTCCTAAGCATACACGCACAACTCCATTCCCTCCCCTGCTGCCATACCAGTGTCCCAGCCAGCTGCCTGAAAGCAGCATCTTTTGGTACCTTACCCCCACCCCTGAAGGGGTGTGGAAAACCAGTCCAGAGGAAAGGAAACAAAAACCAATAACAGCAAAAAAAATCTTGGCTGATTTCCCAGGAGCAGCAGTGTCAAACCTGGCTGGTCTCCAGCACAAGTAAACACATCTTACCAGCTTAATGCTCTCTGAAGCTCTTCACACCTCCTTTCAGAAGCCTCCACAACGAGTTGTAACTGTACCCTGCAGCACACTCCCTCCAGCACCAGGCAGGAGGCCATCTTCCCTTCTTTGCCCCTGGTATTGTTGTACAAAGCACTTAGAGGCCAAGTCCTCAGCCAGAATTAGCTGACACAATTCTGTTAGGGGCTCTGGTAATGAGCTAATTTATAGCAGCTGAGGGTCTGGCTCACTGGTTGGGTGGTTTTTTTTTGTAATTGCACAGATGAGCTTTAATTGCACCATTCTGTTGTTTGTTGGCAATATGCTTGAAAGAGCTGAGCGTTTTTGTACACCTCTTTCAAGATCTATAGCAGAAACAACCTGTTTGTTGGAAGCCCCATGGTTTAGATTCCATACCCAGTTAACAGAGAGGAAGAAGAGACTATTCCGTCAGTGAGGTACAGCAAGAAAAACTTGAGTTTCAGGTCACTGCCTTAATCATGGGAGATCTCTCTGCTGTAGCACGGATGACCTCATTGACCATGGGAAAGTATCACTGAATGAATGAGGACGAGGTGCCTAAGTGTGTTGCAAAATTGTGCCATCCTTTGCATCTATTCTGAACTTGTGGTAGGGGGATGATAACATTTTGCATCATCACAAGGGGTTGGGAGGATAAATCAGAAATGCTCAAACACTGTGGTTACCAGGACCTGCCAGCACCGACACCAGTGGTTTGCAGCCTAAAACAAATAAACAAGAAAGTGTTGTGAAATCATGTGATGTTGATAGTGACCACTGGATGAGGAGAGCAAAGGACTCTTGTCCAGGGCACAGACCTTTTTCAGCACTAGAGCTGTTGGCATGGGGGGACCCTCATGCAGAGAGTCAGAGATCTCGTCTCTTTTTTTTTTTTCCCTTCCCTACCCGAGCCAAACTTTCTGGTACACTTTGTAGCTTTTTTAGTTATAAAATACATGAATTAAAGCATCTGACATCTCCTTCTGTAAGTAGCAAGACCTCATTTTAATATGATGCTTCCTGATTTCAGACAAAGAAGTATTTGTGTAGGCCAGGGTGAAACTGGTTAAGCAAGGAAAAAAAAGGGTAGATTGAAAGACAGTGAGAGAATCTCCAGCCAAAGGAAAGCATGGCATGATTAATAAGTGAAGTTGATCAGAGTCTGTGGGAAGGAACTACCATTGCATATAATAATTACTGGCAAGAGTGACAGCTCTATGACTTGTTCTTAAAAAGAATAGCAACGCAACCGCTCCCGCTCTCCTCTTGACTCTCGGTGGTTTTGTCGTGCCATCTGGGGCGGTGATGTTATCAGAAGAGCCTATTAGCCTTTTATTTTTCATGCAGATACAACACTTCTTGCTGCCAAGAGTTGTTTGCAGCTGAGCAGGCAGATCCTCTTCCCTCCAAATCAGTAACGACTCAGCTCCACCTCCTCCTTCCAAGACCTGGCATGGAGCTCTCTCTTACAGGAGGTATTAGGCTGTGTGTGAAGCTGCAAACCAGGCTCTCTATTCCTTGTCCTCAGCTCAGAGTCCATCAAGCGTGGAAGGTCATATATCATCCCAAGCATGGAAGGGCTGTTACCCAGCCCAGCACAGGCAGCTCCGGATGAGCTTTCCTGTGGCATTTCTGTAGGCAATGTCATTCTCTTGTCCCCCACCACAGAAACATACAGGTGTGGCATTGCTGATGGTCTGGCACTGAGTGTCCCAAATGTGGCTCATTACAGTGGAGAGATGCCTGTGAATCCTGCCAAGGGAGGTGGGTGCAATTCTGTATGTGATAAACGAGATCTTCTGTAAGGGCTTACAAGCAATATGTGCCCAAGTACCACAAAAAGCCCACTAGATGGGATTACTTAACACTGACAGCCCTTTATGAAAATCCAGTGTAAAATATTAAATCTATGACTGCCTATAAACAGTAAGGGACATGTTTCAGTGGTATCCTGAGAAATTCTCAAGATCAAATTGAAGGAGTTTTAATAAAGTAGAAAATGATCCATGTAATAACTAGCTTGGCCTTAATAACTAAAAATTTCCCTTGTCTATGGACATTGTCAAAGCAAGCTGGAGGAGGGAAGGATGGAAACCAGGTTATTTCTAAAACAGGGAGTTTTCTGGGTTACCATGAAGGAGGGCTGCACAGCAGAGATCTACCCGCTCTACCACTGGTAGGGGGTCCCAGGCTTCCCTGCCTACTTAGGAATAATTACATTACCGGGAGTGAGTTTGTGAACCAGCTGCTGGTTTGATGTTGGGCAAAAAGGAAGGAAGTAGGACAGGGGAATGAAAGGAAATGAATAGGAAGTAAGATATCCTGAAAAGTGTATGCATTGTAGCCCTCTGACGTGCTCTGGGTCAGGCACTAATAAGGACAATGATACTGGAGAAACTGAAGTTTTGTACTGCAGCAATTCCTGGTCCCAAATCCACGAACGGATGTATTTGGAGCTGAGATCTGCAGTTTGCTAAAGGGTGGATGAAAAGCTTTCACACTGATTCTCACACCATTGTGAACCAGAAAGTCTGCACTGTGAAATACTAGATTCAGAAAAATAGCAAGAAAACCTGGGGGCAGATCTGCAGCTCCTGTAAATCAGTCTTTCATCCAGTGATTGTTCTACCACATTACCACGTGAAATAATTATGATGTGAAAACAAGCCTTCTTTGTCCATGTGCAAAAAGCTCATGAACAAAGCTGCCCCCATCTCCTCTCTCTTTACAAAGAAGTAAGAGTTCATTTAAAGAAATTACTTCATAGATAAAACCATACAGGAAGTGGAAAAGATCTACAGTTGCTTTTGCTTTTCCTATCAGTACTTGCTTTTGGCCACTTGTGTGCAGAGAATGAAGCAGAGTGCCAGTTTGCAAATTGTTTGTTACAACCTAAAATTCACTTAAGTCTGCAGAATTTGGTTTTACCTTTTATTTCTGCTGGTTCAGATTACATTTAATCAGATTAAATGTTTAAGCCACAAATTCATGTCTTTTGCACTGAAAGAATAGGTACTACTCTGCATCTGTATGCAGGTAATTGCTAAAAAGCTATCTGGCTCCATGTGGGTTTTCTACCTATGTGCTAAATCAGAACTCTGTGCATTTATGACTCCCCCTGAAGAACTCTGGGGCTATGAAACACAACACTTCTGTTGCAGCAAAACCTACAAGAGAACTTCATATCGCTCAAGAAAAACAAATTAGGGCTGTCCCTCTACCACCTTACTATAGACAGCTTTGCATTTCACATCTCTCAGGGAATGCCCTAGACACTGAGTTTTGTAGCCTCTTGTGACCTTCTTTGTCTTCTTTTAAGCAGGTAAGAAGAGCCCACCCGCTGAGGACAAAGTCATACTAACACATATGAAGATACTGAGCAATGAAGGAATCCAAAACCCAGGGTTAATCCCAGAGGCTCCAGCTGACACAGCCTGCACAGGAGAGTCACATCTCCCTGGTTCCAGCCTCCCACCAGACTGCCAGGAAAGTCCAAATGAAGCAGCTGCACCAGCAGATCCAGACTACGCCGATGCCCTGGCAAGCAGAGACTACGTAGCCACACTGCCTGACCTCAGCGCCTTTGAGTCCAAGTGCCGACTTCACAGATTCTCCAAATTTGAATCTGAGGATTCAGGGGTTGAATTGCCAAGCGGGGCTAATTCTCCATCAACACCGACAGGTTCAGAGAAGAGCTTTGTGCTGCACAGCAGAGACTCATTTTGTGATTTGGGCATGCTTAGCACCTCTCCTTCTCCAGAAATTGACCATCTGATAATAAGGACATGTAAAGAGCGTGCCAGAAAGGTCAGACAGGGAGACCCAGAGAGTGAAAAGCAAACTGAGTACTACAGCCAGGAATCAGATGCTGTGCAGGGTCCTACAGCCTCTCTTGAAGACTTCAGTGTCCCTCAGGAAGAAAATCCCAATGAACATTTTGACCAAAGCAAAAGGCAATCTCTGGAAAAGGAACCTACCCCGGAGGCAGACCTTCCCAGGGAAAGCACTCTTCCCACCCCAGCTCCCACAGAAGAGCCAAAGACAATTGCTGACAATTTCCCAGAGAACTTTGGCAGCATGCAAGACCTTCAGATCCATGGACATCAGCTGAAGAGGTACCCCACAAGCGACAGTCTGGACGAATACATGGATGAATGCTGTAGACTGAGTGAGGTAGGAAACACCTGAACTGAATCTTGTAGCTAAGCCTATCCAAATACCTCAGTAAGGGGTCAAGTCCTATCATCTGTCACGAACTAGGGCACTTCTGAGTGAGAGAGAAAATCTCTCCTGAAACCGTTGTAAGCAGCAAATCTTGACAATTTATTTTTAAGAGCTCTTTTCATAGCAGTTAGATTCTGAAGTAATTCATATATGTTGGGTCTGGATAAGGATGACTAATGGCTCATGGAGATCTGATATTTCAAAAAGCCCTGGATTAGAGGATGGACTTGTTTCTGGTCTTAAAATGAAGATTATTAAATTAGTCATCATCCTCTGATACATGGGTCGGGGATCAGAACATTTTTCAAGGTCAGGTTATTCCTGTTTCTGGGAACAGCTGGACTGTTGTCAGCGTAACGAAGTTTGGAAAGAACTTGTCTAAGGGGTAGGTGATTCCTGTCCAGACCTGTGCTGTCCTCTCCAGCCAGTTCTCTTGAATAATGAGTGAGCAGGTAAGTACTGCACAAAATCAAATCTTTGCTGGGCTGGTGATGGAGATCCTGTTTCAACCCTCCAGCACAGCTGTGATGGAAACTCCTGTGTTCTGAGACTGACCAAACTGCAAAGACATGGCATTTTCAGCAGCTTGTCCTGATCTTTCCCCCTTGCTGGGTACACCGTGTGACTGACAGGAGATTATAAAGCCCTTCTGTGCACCTTCTCCCAGAGTGGGTGCGGACATGCACCCCAGTGCTTTGCCTGAAGCCCCATGCTGCTGACACACAGACAGATCACTCCTTTGCTTGCCCACTGCAGTGGCTTCCATGAACCAGTGACAAAAACTTTTAACCAGGGAGCTGATCCTTGATAGCAAAACAGACCAAATAGCCCCATGAGCAAAAGGAAAGGAGGGGCAGGCTAGACGGAGAGGGTCACACAGACACACCAAAAATATCAAATGGTGCATAGTGAGGATTTCTTTTTGAAGCAGTCATTGCAGCAACAGTGATGAATTGGAATGGGAGTTGGGTAGGAGGAAGCCAAGTGACAAGTGCTGTGTGCTGTAATTTCACCATGACCTCTCTGCCTGGGCCCTGAACCATCAGGTGATGCCCTTCCTCTCCAGCATGCCGAACTCTCCTGAACAGTGAGGAAGGTCAGGGATGGCCCATCTCTGTTAACATTGCATATTGATGCAGCACAAGTAACACACAGTCCAACAGAGCAACCTCTTCCTCCCCAGAGCTCTCACACATGGCAGAAGACAGATGTCTATTTTGCACCGTTCCCAAACAGACAGCAATGCGGGCGGCCTTTTGGCAGAGAGTTCAAAAAAGGACCAGAGCGGGAGAGTTTGAATACAAGGAGACTTTATATAGTTACCTAAATTCTCTGTCACAGTCCAGGGGGTTTGCAGCTAGCTTGGTCTTGTCTGACAGCTTTGGCTGCTCATGAAATTCCTTTAAATCCTTTGTGAAATGGAGCCTCAGTTTCCCAAAGCAGAGCATTTAAATAAACAAGAGAATACATTAGAAAGAAGCTGAAGAGGAAATGAAGCTCCTGGTGGCTTATCTCCCCTCCTTTTTAATATCCTCACTGGCTGAGTGCTAAAGCTCTGTGCCTCAGAGCACTTTTCTTTGTTTGTTTTTTCGAGCTGTATAAATACAGCTGTGACCTAGATCCTGGGGAAGTTTGCCCCTCTTCACAGAACACCTCCAAGCTGCTGTATCTCAAGAGCAGTGCTCTTCAAACTGCTGGGATGCCAGGTAGCATCCAAGCTGACTGGGGCAAGAAGTGCCTACGGCTGCTATACAGCCCTGCATCTGCTGCCGTGCTGTGTGCCGCAGAGCACTGTGACAGCCTCCTGCAGCTACAGAGTCTTCTGCCAAACCTGCGCAAGATTGACTTGTCCTCATTGGCATACAGCAGAGGCAGGACAGAATGAGACCCTCTCAGAAATGATGTCCAGATGATCGTCTGCCCATACAGCTGGCAGTCGTATCTTGGTCCACCCCGGCTGAGGCTCTGCTCCAGGCTTATTCTGTGGTTTCCACATTTGCCTGTAACATGTGTAAGGTACAACATGGTGCTTAGGAGCCAATCTTGTCTGGCCTGACGCTGTTTCAGGGACTCAGATACCCCTGGAAATGCAATCAATCTTGTCTGACAGACAGCAGGCCAGTACAGGGTATTCCTACTCTTCTTGGCAAAGAACATAGCAAACCAAATTTTTCCATCAAATCAATTATTAAATTCAAGTTGCTAGAGAAGCAAGAGAGCTTACATGGGCTTATATTTAATGCCAGGTGAAAGCATTATTTAATTATAGGTGATAGCCACTTCCTCAGTTCTGTTGCTGGTTTGGGGAATACAACGGTCAAGTAATAGGAGAGCAGTTGAGTTTCCCCAGCCCAGCTGGCTGTGGCAGTGCAAATGGCACTGTGCTTACTGGCACACCATAGCCAAGCTAAGATTCAGTCTCTGGATGAGGATTTCTCTTGCTGTCCTCCCAGTCTCCCTCACTGCTGAGGTCATTTCCAAAAGAACAGGAAGGAAAATGCCAAAAAAGAGAGACTGTATATGACCGTATGTTTTGACCATTTAGATTCATTTGGTGAGTGGCTTTGACTGAAAATATACATCAAATCATTTCAGCCTGGAATTTCTTGAACAAAGGTTTTGAACTGTTGTTATTTTGAAATTTGCCTACGTTCAGAAAGATGAAAGGAAAGGGAAGCTGTCAAACAAGTGAAAGACCTTTGAAGCCTAAATAAAAGCATTTCCTTTTAAGCCAAATCAAATGTTTGGGGTCAGTTTGAAGATACGTAACTTTTGATGCTTTTGCTTTGCAAACACTTCCTCACACTTCATAAAGTTTACATTTAAAGTCAGCCCATACCCAGGCAATAAGACAGAGGGTGGAAGCACTGTTGTCATTAGGTGAAAAATCCCATTCCTCACACAGTGCTAGTTATCCTGCGCCAAAGTAGTTGAAATATTTCTCTGCCGAGAGTGGTACGGTTCAAGGAAAGGATAGGGCAACCTGTGATGGTCAGCCCTATAGCCTGTGCGTGCTGCTCGGAGGAAACCTGAAGCTATCAGTAAGTGCAGCTCCTCCTGGACAGCAGGGTGTAGCCGTCAGAAATATATGGCATGATCCATCTCTTTCCTGTTATTCACAAGCCTTTTGGTGCTGTCAGCTTCCAGTGACAAATGCTTCCCGCTCAGCTTGTGGCGTCACTAATCAGTTACTCCAAGCCCATGATGGGAGGTTTGTAATTATGTTCCTTGGCTGTTGGCTCAGTGACTGTACTGCCTCTGTACCGGCCACGCTAATGCGGTAGCAGCATGCAGTGAGGGATTTATGGGAGAGTGGAGCACGGTGCAGCTTAAAACTATCCACAGAAAAAAGGAAAGGGCATCACAAGAAGTGCAGAAACCTAAGACATTGCAAGAAACATCAGTGAGCTCCCATCTGAATGAAGAAGAGCTTCACTTGCAAGCTACCCCTGCCTACCAGCCTTGGCTCCTACTGCCAGGTCCAGCCCAGAACAATTTTCCATTGAGCCTGATTGAAGAAAAGCTCCCAGCTCTGTGAATCTGGTGGCTTCAGAGGAAAAATGTGATTTTACACCAGTCAAATATGGACTGGAGCACTCTAGATAAGCCAAAGTTTACAGTGCAAGTGTTGATCCTGTATTTTTAGGCTTCCTAAGAAATCTGTGGGCCAACACAACTGTGATGGTTTATTGCCAGCTGAGCAGGGCTACATGTGCTGAAAATCGGTCTCCAAAAGAGAGATCTCTTTTTAGTTACGCGTGTGTAAAGTGAGGTGCACCCTAACTCCACATAGTCAAAACTGTAATGGGAGTAACCCAGGAGAGTGCAGCTGAGACCCTCGGATTCCTTTCATTCCAGCTGAGGGTCTGGTTCAGTCTGATGTACCTGAAAGCAAAATCTGGCACCTACTTATACGTTATGTTGTTACTTTCCTAGTGCTACTTCAACCATCTGATTTATGAACTGTGTCTGTCTGCTCTTCACTTTCAAAGAAGTAGGCAAGATGTTTTTCCTTCTTCATAGGTTTCATCCACTCAAGAACGGGCACATGGCTTTTGTTCCAATACTATTTGACAATGCCCATGTGGAGAATGGGAAAAATTTCAGTCCCATCAACAGAATGTTTTGGGAAGTTTCAACTGAGAGGACCAAGACTGGAAGAGACTCATCCTGGAAAACGCAGTTTTCCTATGGTTGTTCACCCTCCACTGCTAGCATAAAATTGTCTCACAGGTGCCGAGAGGAAAATATTTAGACCAGAATGTGAGACAGCAGGTTCTACGCTGCACTTGGCATGACCAGAACATAGCAAGGGCTGTTTAGGTATTTCCAGTCTATGGAAAAGAAAGTCCTGGATGAGTCCCTAGAGATGCCCTCTCTGACTGACTGTTTTGGGGGCAACCATCTAAATTACACAAATTTTCTGTATTAAACACCTGCCATATCTGAGCAGTCCTAATGCTAACAGTCCTTGTGGCAGGGCAAGCAAGGTGAAGCATCCCCGTTAAAACCTTATAGCTTTCTCTGTGGTCCTGCAGGGGTGGGCAGGCACTGGGGGCTCTGCCTGATTTGCCTTTTGCTCATTTTGCTTGCTGGGATCACTTCAATAAAATGCAAGTTAATTTCCTATTAAATTGCCCAAGCTGCCTGCCCTGAGCAGCCTCTGAAGGATGGCTGTGAAACAGGGGCCTCCAGCATAATGAGTCCAACTTTCAGTCTGGTTTAGGTCCTCTACAGAGGTAAATCCACCTTGCCCCAAGACCTGGAGCAACTGCTCTACACCTTTTCCCTCTCATTTTCTGGGGATTTGTATTTATTCTCAGGAGTTGGATGCTCTCTCTGACTTTTGCCGAAAGCCAGATTTTCTCCATGCCTGCCCCAAACACACTTTTGCTTTCAAGTATCTTCAGTCCTAGACATAGAGCACGGGAAATCAAAGCCACCTTCTCCTCTATTCCCCCTACCCATTTTGCCCTATAAACTTAGCAGCCTTGAACATGAAGCAGGACCTTGCAATATTAAGCACAGGAGAAGTATGGAACAAAAAGAGGGTCTCTAACTGAAAGAGGTCACAGACAAATGCTTTGTGTGTTCTACCCAGTACTGAGGTTACAGCCAAATGTTTTACTTCATCCTCTTTTCCAAGAGCTCCTCTGTCCCTTGTAGACATCCCTTGTGTTGCTACAGCTATAACGGGTTGGATTTGGCTTGCTGTCTCCTTAGGGCAATACAGATGTGCCATCAGTCACTGTAAGAGCAAACTGGCAGAAAGGGGAGTTGCAAGAAGAGCAGAGTGGCAGAAAGCCTGCCTTTTCAAGGATAGCAAGGAACTTCTAACTACCCATTTTGGAACAGCGTAAAAAAATGACTACTCATTTTGGGACAGCTCAAAACTGCCAGATTTTCGGAAGTTGATACTCACGTACTTTCTGAAAATCATGCTTCTGAAACTGGGCACCCCCAAATCCCTAGCTGCTTTCAGATATGTCAGTTACATACAATCCTTTTCATTCACGCTTTTCCCAGCAGACATCACATAGGTTTTGTTCTCCCCATGGGTCCTGGGGCTGTGCCCCTTCCCGCTGTATAGGCACGCTAAGGACCCAGTTTATGGCTGAGTAACCTTTGTCTTTGCCACCACTTCTGCAGGCTCTGCAGAGAGGAAAATAAAAATCATGAATGTGAGTGACTGGCTGGCTTAGAGTCAATAGAGTTTTTCATGTGATTTCACATGACCTCTGTCCCCACCTCAGACACAAAAGCATCTGGACATAATAATACCTGTTTATAAATAACATTGTATCATCATTTGTTTAAAAAGAAGTAAATCCTAATGTTGATTATTTTTCAACACACCATGAGCTTTCTGACATAATGAAAAGACAGGAAGAGTCCCAAGGCTGGCATTTCCCCAAAAATGTAGATTGTTGTGGGAAAGGAGACAGAGTAAGCTTCCTGCTTTTGTGGAGCAAACTTATTTTTTGAAGTAAGATAAACTTAAGAGCTCAGCTTTTGTAAAGATCGAGGCTTATTTTACTTACTGATATCACACGCACATCAGCAGGCAGCGCCAAGGTGGAAGTGAGCCTCTGTGTGTATTTGTTAGCAGCACGTTCAGCAGAGCCTGCTTGCAGCACAGGGAAGTCCTGGGGCCAGAAACAGTGAGGTGCAGAGCAGGAGGCTGGGAAGAACTGCTGCCTTTCCTCTGCTGCAGGATTACTGCCTGTCTCTGGCACTGCCCTTGTCTGAGCAGCAGCGGGACCCTGCAGGTCCTGGGCGTGGAGAGGTTGGTGGTACAGAGTTATTCTGCCATAGCCAGACAGCAAGCTTGGTCCTGCAGACTTTCTTCAGGCATCTCTTAACGACTGAGAGAGTCACAGCAAGGATGTAAGCTGGGATCTGCTCAAGACCAGCAGAAAAGTGTTCTTTCACTTTGGCAGCTTGGTTCAGGCACACATCTCTCTCACTGACCCACCAGTGACAAGGGTCTGAGTTCAGCTGTGCCACAATGGTTGCAGGTTGCCAAAGACAGACAAAATTTAGCCCCAAGTTGGTCACAAACTGGAAAATCACTGCAATCTGCAGGCTTGTGCCTTTGGGTAGGAGCCAAGCTCAGCCTCAGCACACATAAGTGTGATTTGCACTGAGGGCTATGGGCTGAGTGAGGCATACTAACCCCAGCCATCTATACCATACAGTCAAAGGATATTTGTTTGAAGGAGTCCTGTGGCCAGTAAAAGGCAAAAATTAGCCTGGGAGGTGGAACTAGAAACAGGCCATCATGAGGGATTCCTCTGCGTCAGCCAGAAGACCCCCTCTGATGGCACATATTGCCGAGTGATGCAGAAGAGAGCTGTGAGCAAGCAATGCTGTAGCTCAGATCTGGCTATAACCAAAGCCCCTTGCAAAGGGAAGCCTGAGTGTCTTCACCACAGCCCACATGACTGAAAGGAGCATGCTGGGGTTCCAACTGCTAGTAAGGATTGCTCCGCTGCTACTCCATGGTCCAAGATGCATTGTCATTGCAGGTGAACCAAGGAAACAGCAAAGCCCTGGGATCTGGTCTGGGATACCTGGAACACATTTGCCAACTGATTGAGAAGATTGGGCAGCTGCAGGAGCACAACCTGCGTCTCCAAAAGCAAGTGTGCAGTTTGCAGAAAGAGCAGAAGATAAGCCAGATAAAAGAGGTAAGCAGACACCATAGTATCTTTCATTAAATGATATACTCAAAGCCCAGATGGAAAGTTCTAAGTCTGTGTGAGGGAAGATGCTAATTTACTTGACCCCACACCCACGTGGGCTTCAGGGAGCACTCACCCACCACAGTGGGCTCAGCTTCCCTTAGGGTGGGCTTGGTTTCTGTTCCTGTTCAAGTTTCTTTGCCACATGTGCTTGGTTCTGCTGAATTAAAAAGCATCCCTCTCACCTCATGTGATGGCCAACTCAAAGTCAGTAGCTCTTACTTCTCTACAGCTGAAAACTTCCCAAAAACACATCTTCCCCTGTCAATGCTATCAGAACAAAAGATTTCCATGAACCTCCTGGGTAATTGTGTCTTGAATTAAAAGCTCTTTCTTTTCCTTCTGGTTTCAAACTGCCAAAATCCCAGAATTTTTCACAAAACAGACAATGGGAAAGAGAAGCAGTGGTATCACTACCCAACACCATGCTCTGTTTCCCTTCCAGCACATCTGAGCTGACAAATGAAGAATCTCTGACATGAAACATCTCAGTTTTCCTTTTTTTTTTTTTTAATCAACCAGAGCTAGTAGCTGGGGAATTTGACTGAAATTTGCAGATCATTTCAGCATCCTCCTAAACACCATTTTTTAGTCCCTGCATATTTTGTTCACTCTACCCCACCTCTGCTTCTCAGTTCTTTTCCTCTGGCCATCACACAAGGCTTCCAGGTTTTTTCCTCCCCTCCTTTTCTATTTATTTTATCACTCCCCAAAGGAATAGTAGGGGTTTGTCACACTCAGCTATTTCTTCCCACCCATGCTGTGGCAAGTCCTTTATTCTCCGGACAGCATCATTCCTCCCCTGGTGCTGGCCTCCCACCTGCTGAGGCTGGATCTGCAGTAGGTGACTGACTCCTCCTCAGAGTCAAAGCCAAGTTGTGAGTCAGGTTGCAGAGCAGTGTAGCCCGTCATTTCCCTGTACCCATCTCTCATGCTCAGTGGAATGCAGCCTCCTACATAGAGCCTGGGAATTGTTAACACATTTCCTGAAGCTTTACAACTGTGAGTCATTGCTCAAAGTAACTCTTCCAAGCTGCAAATTCAGGGTCAAATCCTCATCTGGTATACATGCCCCCTCCTCCCCAGCTCCCACTGAAATGAAAGGCACCGTGCTTTCATTTAAATATCTGAAACTTTGATCTCTGTGGTATTTTCCAAGATCTCTCAGCAGTGCCTTCTCAGCCACACTTGTCCCATACTGTTTAGTGGGGAATTGGACCCACAGATGTAACGTTCAGCACTTGCAATGTGCTCTACAAAACGGGTTCTGTCTGCCAGGTGTCTCTGTGGTGCTTGCATCTCCTATACCTGAGCAGCTCTCTGTCATTTTCCTCTCCAGAGTCACAGCCCCTCTGTGCATAAGGGGTTTCACTACTCTACCCCCATTTGCCACAAGACATAGAAGTTGCTGTCCACATTGCATTTTGGAGGGCCAAGGCTACTTTCCAAACCACATTCACTCCCCATGCAGACTATGAGCATGGAAAGGTTTCCATGCCCCAGACATGGCTAGGGAAGACACAACTCCCAGAGCAGAGATGAGTTAGTGTGGTATTAAGAGCTGGTCATGAGGGTGGTAGATGGCCAGTGATCCCGAGGCTGTTCTTGAGAGCTGTGCAGACATCACCACAGAAATTGATGACATTTCGATCCTGGGAAAGAAAGGGAACATGGTTACTCCACATCCTTTGCTTTACAGGGAAATCTTTAATGCCCTGGGCCAAACATAGCATCTTTCACCGGATTTTCTAAGCACCCCCCAAAGTACAGGTACTTGCAAAGTGCCATGCTGTTGTGTCAACATACCCAGTGAGATGTTACACTAAAACTGTCAATTGCTTGGGGATGTCCAGAGGCTCTAAACTGGTGTTGGCCTGTCCTCGTTCCAACACCAATAAACAGTTTGGTTCCCTTTCCACTTCAGCTGGGTAAAGCTCTCCTTGCTTCCTGCCCTACTAAATTCTTGTGCAACACAGTTGTGCAAGGCAGAAAATCTCCCCTTCCCACCATGTCAGCTACAGCAGGACACCAGCTGAAGTACCACATGCGTGTTGCCGGTCAGATTCACTGTAAGTGAACTATGGCATCCCATCAATACAAATACAAGATACTATTGTCTGTGCACTTTCCAAAACAAATAACATTATCTTAAAATGCGAGTCACTGTTCAAACAGATCTGTTTATTTACACAAATGCCTTAGCTGAGCAGCTCTGTGTTTAGAAATTTGTATTGAATTCATTCTGGGACACAAACCCAAAAGATGCTGAGTATCAGGCAATTTAATGATATTAAACACCAATGAACCAATGAAAAATCTACATTAGCAACTCCAGGCTTCTCAACCTTTTGTAGAATTAGATAGTATGTCTGGGTTCTGATGGGTCTCAGGACAAGGCTGGGTAGACTGCAATTTGTCTGTACCACCACACCACCTAGTTACCTTGGGCTGTTGCAGCATGGGAGTCCACATACCTTCTTCTTTAATCTGGTGTAGGAGCACTTTCTGCAGCATTGCTCCTGTGGAGCTGCCAGCGTCTTCCTCAACTCGTCCCAAGACATGAAGACATGTTTTGCTGGGAGGAGCAGACCTCACAGCCTCTTGGTTCAGACTGGAAACGCTTCTGATCTTTCCATCATCCCAGAAATAGGAGTGAACACTGAAAAGCTGAGCAGCTGCAATGGTGAGTTCAAATACCCCTAGCCCGCCTTCCTGCTTGCCACCAGTTGGGTGAAATAATCTGACTAGCAAATTCCTTTTCCCTAGGAAAGGCAGATGAGAACAGGACAAGGTGTTAGTAGAACCACACCTTAGCTGGAAAGCAGGGAGATGCATTTTAAAATGCTTTGTCTACACCTAGGATTTTAACACTTGCTTTTTCACATGTGTGAAACAGGACTTTTTACTCCGCAGCTGTGGCTACAAACGTTAGGATAAATGCATTACAAAATGAGTCTCTCTTTTGGAAACTCAGCATACCTGAATGGGTCCATTAGTGGAGCTCCTCCATATGTCTTTAGAATCACCCCCCAGCCAAGGTAGGATTTGATCCAAGGTGGAAAGCCTTATGCCTGTTACTAGTCTCCTACCCTCTCAAGGAGTCACAGAACACATTCCTGGAGGATGACTTATTCTATAGCCCAAGTAGAAATAAGTCCCAGCTGCAAAGCTTGGATCCACAGACCAGCCTTTCCAGAGGGCTGAGAATGACTGAGATCAGCCTACTGTTGATAAAGCCAGCTGAAAAGTTTGGATCCAATATTAGATGTGAACCAGCCCACTAAGCGAGGCTGATTATTTCAAACCTTGGATTTCAGTCTGCCTCTAATACCTGGTGAAACACAGAACATCAACACACCTCCTGGCAGCATTGAATCAGAGTGTAAATGGTCTTTGGGATCTCTGGAGCCAAGGCTCAGAAATTCTCTTTCCTGGCAGTTTCAGAGCAGACCTGGAAGGAAAATAAGACCATGAGGAAGATATTAGAAAGTCTGCCATGGTCAGACATTTTATTGGAGCATTTACCATCTTTCCACTGAAGTGTGGCATTGAAACACATGGGGTCTTATTCCATCTGGAGTTGTAGCTTGCTGGAAACTGCCCAGAGGGTCTCCTAGCAGGACACTGCTGAGAAATGTGAGCAAGCCCTTGTGTTTCATTACAGGAAGAGAGAGAGACCCAGATTCAGGAAAAAGTCAGCCGATGGTGTGGCTCAGAAAGTCGTCAAACAATAGGAACAACAAGGAGAATGAGTTCAGAGAAGCTGGTAGTATGGCCGAGGGACAGGCATTTCCAACAAAGGACCCTGCAGTAAGGAAGGTGAGTGATAAGCTTGGAGCCAGACTCTGAGTGAGACCTATGGGAGAAGTAGGGAGTTCTACCAGGCAGAGCAGAGCAGGATGCTGGGAAAACAAGCCAATCCTGTGTGCAACTAAAGGAGGCTGAGGCAGTCAGGGTGCTCCATGCCTCTCTGATCCCACCATTAATGAAGACAATGGCTGTGTCTGTATGCCAAGAAAGGCCCAGAGCACTGCAGACAGCAGCATGGGCTTTAGCCCTCTCTAACTCCAGATAACTCAACACACATACTGTCATAAGTGTCTTCACCACTGCTGCAAGCAAGATTAAACTAAGCACACATTCATTACTACATACAAAAATTTTAGTGAGTTAGTCCTTAACTGGCAATGCTTAACTACCAGACTGGCAGCCTATCAGTGTAATTAGCTCCAGTCCCCAAAGCATGTTTCAGGGAAACCATGTCACTGAAGTCCAAGGGAGCCGGGAGAATGCTTTTCCTCTCCCTTTCTTTCCCATTGTTTGTGGCTGCCTCAGCACTTTCAGGTTCCAGTGGGGATCAGGAGTGATGAAATGCCAGGCCTGAGGCTCTAATCAGAGTATTCTCAGCACAACAGGAAAGAGTAAGGAGTAGGTCTCTCACGGGAAAGACTTTCCCATGAAATTTCCACCCCAAAGTTGCAAATCAGTTTCAAACATTTTGATGAACTTCAGAAAACCAGTTAAGGCTCAATTCTGAAAGGTATTCCATGCTCTGGCTTGTGTTCAGCAAAGTCCTAGAGTATGAGCAGTATTTTAAGCACATAGGAAGCCCTGATGACTTCACAGGACTGCAGAATCAAGGTCATTCTATTTACACCACACCTTAGTATTGTCACTTAGCATTGCATGTTGTACCCTGAGCATAAAATGTTTCCTTCTACAGTGCAGGTACTGTATAGGAATCCTGTCAAATTAGTCTCCAGGCTGCTATACTCATGAACTGGCAGTCTAAATACAAAAGAGAGGTGGAAGAGGAAAGAAAGGATTATCACACACTTGAGGGACTGAATCTTAAAGAGAGAAGACTTGACCAAGGCTATGGGTGGACTCTAGGGCAGAGCTGAGAACAGAGCCCAGTCTGTTCCCAGCACTGTAAGATGGTCTCTCTGCCTCATTATTTATCAGTTTATCTGCCTTTTGTTTTTTAGGGTCTGGACATCAGCAAGAACATCTCGGTATGTACTGCCTTTGCAGGATATATTTAACTTGTACTTGCCACTGTCATGAACCAGGCCCCTGTAGTGCATAGCATTACACATGAACAAAAGAGGTCCACTGACCCCCAAAGTTTACCATTGAAGTAACGTACACACATGTATTATGACTTACTGCCGTGGGCCCCTTGTTCTCCCACCCTCACTGCAGACAACAGCTAGCTAGCCTTCAGGAACAGGCAACTGTTCAGGCTTTCTGTGACATTAACAGGGCTTGCTTTTCTGGGACAACACCAGCACAAGGAGGGACTGACTGCTAAGACTTCCAAACCCACAGCACACATTAATCCTAGGAGTAAACACGAAGGTTTGATATTTCCATGAGTAAACAGTCTCATTTACGGGCAATTAACTCAATAGCACAGAAACCGGTGTTGCAGTTTTCAGCTTGAGCCCATGACCTCATCTGAAGTTTTGAAGTGAAAACTTAGCAGATCCCCTGGAAGAATTACTGCAATAGGTTCTGTCTGGGCTAGTGTGTGCGGCTGGGCAGCTGCCCAGTTAGTTGTGCTCCCAAGGTGGCCATAATTCATGGCACGGTGGCTCTGCTGGTGGCACAGTGGGAAGGCACCTCCAGACAGGGCAGAACAATGTCCCGAACATGACAGCAGTATGAGAGCTACGCTGAAATGGGAATTGTTTCTCCCCATTACACTAGTCCTGGGGCATGATCTTTATTTTGTTCTGTTCCCAAGGTTTTTCAGCAATTACTTGAGGAAATTTTAAAGAAATAAGCAAAAAAACATGGATTTTTTTTTTTTTTTTAATGCATCACTCCTTTTCGGTTCATGAGTTAAGATGAGCTCAGCCCGGAGAGAGCAAACATTAGAGGTGGGCTCATGAGACTCCCTGACCTCCTGATTATCTCTATTAGCATTTCAAATGGAAGTGCCCAATAGCTGTAGCTGTAGACGTGACAAGAAAACAAAGGCTTGATCTCTTCTAATTTATGGCCCACAAAAGTCACCACCTTGAAAAGGGCTGATACCAATGCACCTGGCCTCATAGAAAAGGAGAAGGGAGTCAAGCTGCTTCTTTGGTTGTTTTTGTTGTAAAGACCCCCCTCCCCCTGCACTGGAGTAGGTAGGAATCCAAACTGTGATCTTTTCTTTCCCTTTAGTACAGTATAACAATGAGGTAAAAACGTGCCTTTAGTCAGGTACTCAAAGTGCCCTCACTCTGAAACTGTAAGTCAGAAAGAACAGCAGGATCCTAGGCAGAAAAACGTTACCAAATGAAACACAAGAAGAATGGTATTAATGATAGTTGATCCATCCTATTTCATTGTGTCCTATACAGGTACAGGCTGGCCACCAGTCTTCATTGCAGGGTGTTAAAAATTCTTTTGTGGGACCTGGCTCCTATCAGTCCAAAATAAAGAAGCTCCACTCATCCCACCACCCTGGAGTACCCTGAAGTCTCTCTGGTCCTTCAAGTTGTGGTTTGATTTTGTTCCTTAGGGCGAGAGCCACGCTTGGGGGAGAATGAGAGACCTTATGAGGAAGACACGGCTGAGAAACCAGAACAAGCTGGGACTGTCCTCTGCTGCACTGAAGAGGTCTTGCCCACAGTTGTACAGGTAAGACAGATGTGGGAGATTTTCACTTAGTGTTAGGAGGAGATGGTGAGAGATTTACCTCTGGTTGTTGCTGGCCAGAGAAGACCCCTCCTTACCTTCTTTCCATTGCATATGATGGTCCTGGCCAGCACAGCTGTTTGTTTCCTTAGCACGCAGGTGATCCCACCTGGATAATGTTATCTGTGTGAGAATAACAGAAACATTAGGGTCCCCAAAAGAAGGTGCTCTCCCCCAACAGGGGAAGGGGATGTTCACAATCAGTTTGAGCCATTCCATAGCCTAATTATTTGTGTTTCTGCTCCCTCCTAAGCATTGCAGTCGAGGTTAATGCTCTGCTCCATCCACCTTCACATCTTTCATGCGGTGGAACGGTAACCCACATTGCATCTGATGTGTGATGGGTTGGGACAGTCAGGATCAGCTAGGTTTCCTGTCAGAGCAAAAGGAGATGCAGTTTGCTGAGCGTGTGCTCATGGGTGGGTCCTGCTTGTTGCTGTGAATGAACATTTGGGACAAGCATGGGGTCTCATTTCTGTTAAGAGACATGTGCTGGCCCCCTGGGCAAGTTTGTCTACCAGGCTAGTTCCAGCCTGGCCTCTCTCTGAACTATACTGTGTGGTGCGTGTCTACTCGAGGTGATGACAGTGCTGCCAGCTACCCCTCGCACAGATATTCCCTGTGTGCTTGCCAAGTCCTCCCAGCTGGTCTGTTGGATTTGAGGTGTTTGTCTATATTATCAGGTAACAGGAAGAGCCTGGGTATCTTACTCACCAAAGTATTACAAGAGCTGGGCACATCCCTGTGTTTTTTCAGCTGAGGCCTCACTAACAGTTGAGCGGAACAGCTCAAATGTGCTTAAGCCCTCGTCAGGTTTTAGAGGGGGTGATGGTGGGGAAACAGCAGTTGTTAAAGCACTTAGGAATGTCCCATTGTTTCCCTTAGACAGCCTGTACCTACCTTACAAAATGCATAAGGGAGTTGGGAATCTTGTAATTACATCTGGGAAAAAAACCTGTAGTTCATGGAGTGATTTTTCCAGCTGGGAAAAACTTGGTTGGGGCCCAAGCACACGTAACAGGCGAGCTTCCTCCTATTGTTTGGAAAACTGAAAGAAACACAAAGCAGAAAGAGATCAAACAGTTCCATCTAAAATAGATGGTGAACCAGCTGGGGAAAAAATACAAACTCTTGTGAACCTTCCCTCTAAACCTGAACGGAATCAGAACTTTTTTTGGGCTTTAGAAAAGTCCTGTCTCTGTAACCTCCCACTTGGCCCTTCCTCTGCAGCACTGAGGACACCGGCAGTGCTCCCTGCGCCAGAGCCGCAGGCTGGGTCCTCAGCTAAATCAATGCAATTTCAACGAAGGGCCAGCCCAATGGAAATAAGAAACGGAAATAGCTTTTGCTACTTTCACACTGGACGACTACTACTGTCATGGAAATGCTGTACAGTGAGATGCCAAATATATGATTTTTTTACCTGGCTGTAGCTGGGCAGCCACAGAGATCTTGTACGCTGATTTTTCCATGCCGCTTTCTGTAGATGATGAAAGACCTCTCTTCTTCCACTTTCTTCTCCTGTATATCTACATAAAACCCTTGCTTCTACTCATCTCCTTGCAATTCCTCTGCTCCTGCTTCCTAGCTCCTATTCCCCAGCCCTTTCTATACTTGCCCTAGCCCTTTCTACTCCACACCCTACAACAGCAGTGCACTGACACTGGGCTTTTCACTGGTGCCTGGAAAAGCTGGACACCTTGCTTCTATTGCACTTTGGATATGTAGTTGCCTCCAGGCTCCTTTAAAATAAAAAGTTAGGCTTAGTGGATCAATGCCAGCCCTGCAAGTGCTGCTGGACAGAAAGCCAGGCCCTTCTTAGAGCAGAACCTGGATGTTAAAGCAAGGAAGGCTTGCCTGTCTGCAGCTCTTGGCAAAGCAAACACTGAAGCCCTGATACTCTCAGCGTTTAAAGCCACTGTCTTTGTTACAATTTATGAAACATGTTTGTCCTGGCTTCTGGTCCTGTTTATACATGCAGGCGTAAAGAACTGGCTGGCATTTGCTTACCCAGGCTTCCTTGGGCTCAGAAACATCTTCCAAGGTCTTGAATTTCAACAGGTTGGAGCCAGGTACCCTGTATTAACATACAGCTCTGAAGGAAGCAGAGATTTGTTGCTTTTGACACCCAGTCCCACTTGAGTCATTTAGGCAATTAGAGAAAGTCTTTGTTTTTGTAACTAGGTCAAAGCAAATCCCATTTTATGCTCCCACTCTGTGTATGATGAATGATCTGCTCTGCTCCAGGGTGGTTGTTTTGTTTTTCCTTTCTGTCCTTTTTTTTTTTTTTTTTTAAATCCACAATAGAACTCTCATAGTAGAGAGAGAACTTGGTTTTTCCAGCAGGACAGAGGGGCCTGCCAAGGTAAACATACCGGCACAAGACTCAGTGGCTTGTCATACATTGTTCTAAACAGACTTAGGTTTTAATTTCATTTTCTTTTTCCTGCTAGTACGCTTACTCCCACAAAGCAACATCCATCTTGTGCAAAAGGCCAGAACAGGCTGATGAACGACTTTATCGTCATGTTATAAACTTGCAGCATATGGACCTGGATCTGATCTATGGCAGGAAAAGTAGATTACTTCCCCATATCATTGCAGAATGATCCCTCCATGAATAATAAGGAACTTACTTCCATCTGAAATGAGCCCCAGGACAAGAACTTTTTGCCTTTCCACTGTGACTGGTTTTAGTGACAGAAAACTGTTTTCAAGTTATAGCAAAGCATCGTAGAGTCAAACATGTTCCCTTGCTAAACAGTTACAGTCTGATGCTGCTTTGAACAGTAAGGAGACAATCCAGCCTGGCCCACGAAAGCTGGGCTGCAAATTCTGCAGGAGCCTACCTCCATCAAATTATTGCCTGTACATTGCCGCTCCATCTGACATTATAAAACATGCCAAGTTCTCTCTGGATAGAATGGTATCACAAACGATCCCCAAAAATCCAGGGTCAAGGAGGAGCGCATCAGCACCTTCGTATCATTTGTCCTTACTTTCCCTATCTCCCTTTGAGGACAAACAGACGAGACGTAGTCTCCTACTTGCTGTGACTGCTGCTGGGAAGCAGACTGGCCCAACAGTTGCTGCAGCCCTGGCAGAGACTCAGAGGCAGCCACCTCGATGAAAGCAATTGTGCTCAGGAGCTTTTCTCATGCTATCCCTCAACTTCTTTCCAGGGCAGGATCTAATTTGGGAAGCTTTGAGCAATCCCAGCCTGGCATTCCTACAGACACACCCACCCACATATCTATGGGAGCCGCAGCTTTAATGCGGCTGTGTGGGAATGAGCTAATTACGGTATCTTTCATGGTAAGGATGCTAGTTTCAGTTTGACAGCCATGAAAAGCTTGCTGCTGTATGGTGACTACTTTGTGGTTAGAGTGATGTAATTTAGGAAGGACAGTGCAGTTCTAACATTACAAAAACCCACCTTCAGTATCATATAATCTATGGGAGCCGCAGCTTTAATGCGGCTGTGTGGGAATGAGCTAATTACGGTATCTTTCATGGTAAGGATGCTAGTT